TGGCCCACTTTCTGCAGCTCCACCTCCAGAGCCTTTTCAAGGTGAGCCCAAGCCAGGGCCCCTGCCCAGGGGGGTTGGAGTGGAGGCCCAGGCAGCTTCCCCCTCAGCGCCGTGCTGCTGCCCACCCGCCTACCCCGTGCCCCACCAGGAAGGGCCCTATCACTCCACCGCCCCGGCTCTCGAGGAAACAGTTTGCTGAGGCCGGGAGAGGCTTCCACAGGCCGGTCCAGGGCACAGTGACCTCCTGGGCCTGGGGCTGCCACCTGCCTGCCTTCCCCATTACTGCTCTCCCTGTGGGCGCCTCCCCTTCTCGGGTAAATCAAGGCACCCTCCTCCCCGACCATCTGGGACATCTGGGAAGTGGCCTCGACGCCTCTGAGCCTCAGTTTCCCATGGATGGCGTGGGGATAATAAAGCTCAGAGGGTTACACATAGCCACCCAGACAGGGCCCACACATGTGGCCAAAAGGTGGGAAAGGCAGCCCTTTGCCTCACACTGCAGGGCCGCCCCCTCTTCTCTCACTCCCCAGAGGGCCCCTCTGCACACACCCTGGACCTGTCCCGATAACTCACCCCTCAGGGAGCAGACCCCCCTCAGGAGGTCTTCCCTGCTGTCCCCAGACTCCTAATCTGCTCAACACTTCAAAAGCCCCCGCCGCATGCCAGGCACTGTTCAAACACCCTAGATATACTACCTGCATCCTTACCCCAATCCTGGGAGGCGGCTCAAGGATTACCCCTATTTTATAGATGTGGAAACGGAGGCCCAGAGAGGAAAAAGCAGCTCGCCTGAGGTCACCGAGCTAGGAAACGGCTGAACCCAGGGAGGCCATCTCCTAAGTCAGTGCCCAAGCCGGGCTGCTAGGCTCCCCGGGAAGCCCTGCTGGCCTCCCCTTTCATTCCAACAAAGCCCCACTCTCCCAGGGCTGACCAGTGCCCTTCTCCCCTCAGCACGCAGGACAGGACGGGCGCCCAGAGGGAGCTCAGCACCATCTGTGCAATGCCCCAATGCGGGTGATTATCATCCCTTGGTCCTGAGAGGCCTGTGAGACTGGCCTGGGGCAGAGGTTGTGTCAGGATTGCCCCATCCGGCATGCCTACCCCCGTGCACCCTCTGCCACCCCAGCCTGGTTTCCTCAAAGACCCAGAGCGGTTTCCCTGGCAAGGCAGCCAGCTCAGCCCCATTCCATCGCCTGTGCCCACTGCCTGGGAACTCACAGGGTTCACGAAGGGAGCCTGGACGCTGCTGAGGGCCATCTCTCCACCACCTCTGTGGTCCCGGCTGCTCCTCACACCAGCCAGGCAGTTCTCGGCACTGGGAAGGACTTTTCTATGAAACAGAAACCAAAGCTATCGGGCAGTTATTCAATGGGAGGAGCCAGGAGCTAGAGGAAGTGGGTGTAGAGAACCGGGAATGTGGACTGCGGACGTGCTGGGGGAAAGGGCGAGGTGGGACTCAGGAACAGGTAAGTAGATACTCCCACTCCAGTGACCTTGATGTTTCTATCTCCCTCTCCCTTCCTCTCTGAGGTCAACAAAAAACAGATTTGAAAACCATCCAGATACTTATTGTATGGCATTACAAAAATAAATTTAAATAAGTATTCAAATAAACGGTGAGAAGTGGAGGTGCAGCTAAGTTTACTTTGCAGGTTGTTCCTCTGTCACTTAAAGGCTCTGGATACAAGGGTCTTTACCACAAAGCTGTAGTGCACTTCATTTATTAGGAATTAATCACATAAAATGTATACTTTTACACAGAAAGTGTTACTGTACTGTCACTCCCACTACTGAACAGATTCATTTCTTAAACCAGGTGATACAGAATCCATGAAATTTCCGCAGGCACTTCACTTGCCAGGGAACTTCTCGTTCAGCAGGTATATGTGAAGGTTCACATCCACTGTCGCCTCACCAAACATTTCCCTTACAGCTACGCCTTCACATTGCATCTCAAGTAAGTCCTGAACGCGGAGCTGCACCTTTCCCATCTCGGCACCCAGGAATCTGGATTTGACGTCCAGCGTGCCCACATCTTCAGGAGCTATGCTATCACAGTGACATTTTAAAACTGGTTTGTCTGCAGCTGGTCGATGGCCAGCAGGTCACCCTTCTCACCAGCTTTGCGGCTGTGGACTTGACTCCCTTTGCCCTCTTCACCCACTTGGATTCTCCAAAAAGGAGAAAAGTGCTGACTCATGCTACAATGTGGATGAGCCTTGAGGGCACTATGCTAAGCGAAATAAGCCAGACACAAAAGACAAATACTGGATGGCTCCACTCCTGTGCGGTCCCTAGCGTAGCCAAACTTCTAGAAAAGGAAGTAGACTGGTGGTTTCCAGGGACTGGGGGAGAGTGGGAAATGATTTGTTGTTAATACGTATAGAGTGTCAATATTGCAAGTTGAAAAAAGATTTGTGGATGGAAGGTGGGCATCAGTCGGAGAGGGAATATTTTTCCTCTACCTTATAATTAAATTGATGTGAGACAACCCAGGCTACCCTTTCACCTCCCGGCAGTTGGCTAACGTGGATGTGAGACTCGGCCGCACCGTCCTGGAGAGTTGGGCACGTGTTCTGCTTGCTGGGGCTCGGCGTGCTCTTCCACCTCTACTCGGGCTTCCTGGCCGTGCGCTTCAGCCTCTTCGGCCTGGGCAGCGAGCCCGTGGGCAGCACTGTGGCGAGGTGCTGGCCGTGTCGGTTCTGGCCACCGTCCGCGGTCCGTGGGGGCGAAGAGGTGAGGTGCGTTCGCGAAAGCAACGTCCTCCACGAGAAGTCCAAGGGGAAGACGCGCGAGGGGGCCGACGACAAGATGACCAGCGGGGACGTGTTGTCCAACCGCAAGATGTTCTACCTGCTCAAGACCGCCTTCCCTCACGTGCAGCAAGTAACATTGGCTTTCATCATGAGCTGCTGAATACCAGATGTAATTCACACAGGAATTCTCAAACACAACGCACAACATTTTCAATTTTTCTTTGGCCCTGCCCTGCTTTATCACAGTTTATACTTACATGTGTTTGCATCTCTCTAGTTCCCTAGAGTTGGTAGAAGAAACAGGAGTTTCAGAGAAGTTGACATAGTTGTAACAGTAGCAATAGTAACAATTTATTGAGTATATTCTAGGTGCCCAGATACTGGCCACACAGGACTTCATTTGATCCTCACAGCGACTTCAGAAGTAAATTTTATTTGTGCCCACTTTACAGATGGGAAATCCGCAGCTCATGGCACTTTACTGCACAGTTTATATCATCACTCTAACTTCATTGTAGCTAGGTCTTTAGGAGGCTACTTAAAACAGAACTTATAGTGTGGTTTCCTAGGGAATCAAAATTGTACAAGCTTAAAAGCAATAATAGTGAAATATGGTAAGCAGAGTTGAATTTTTTTAAGGTAAAGATAAAAATATCCTTAAATATTGAAAACATAAATCTGTTTGTGCATGTCCACATGCCAGCTCCACCCCACTCCACTTCTGCCAAAGCTTTTGTCTTGGGTAACTTCCACAGGATTCTGAGTTTGCTTTCTCACTTATTAGCAAACACTGAGGGCACAGCTGCCAAGGGTAGAGAGCTGCCTTTTATTAAACACTAAAGCTAAACTTTTGGAATTGTAAAAAATAATAATAATAAGTAAAAAATAAATAAATTGATGTGAGACAGATTAACAGGAGAAAAACCAAATATAATTGTGCATGTACAAGGGCTCCATAAGAATATGAGGCCACAGGCTGTCAGACCGTTGAGGCTCAAATGCTGCCCTAAGGTCAAGAGAAGGGGTAGGGGCCTGGGACAATTCACAGGGAGGTGGGAAGAACAAATATTTGCTTTACCAATGTTTGCCATGCCAGGCAGAGAAGTCTTTCTAGTATAAATAGAGGCTGTCTTTGGTAACAGCTCTCTTCCTCCCAATCCCAGTTGGAGGGCAGAAGAGGTTTAAAAAATTTCCTGAATTTTCTATGTCTTAAAAATAACCAGCTTAAATAATACATAAGCCAAAGACGCATATTTGGGGGGTGAGGAGTTTTTGAAACTTCCCCGGGACATCTCACAGTTCAGAAGTTAAGTAGGTGGATTGCTCCATCTCAAGGGACCCGTCTCTTGATCCTGACAATAGGTCAGTTTAATTAAACTCATTTCAGTTATGCAGTTGGGCTCCCAAAATTAGGACTATGGTTAAAGCTATTGGGTGTTTACGAAGGCGTTTCTGTGGAAACAAAAGAAAAACACAGCTTAATGCTGGGAGAAGACTGTGCACCGAGTCTGAGTCTGGAGCCAGCCAGTGAAGACGGTTCCTAGCTGTCTGGCTCCAGCATGTTTAGATGGAGAGAGGGCGGGCAATGGCAATGCCGACAGATACTCTTAGTTTGCAGTGTGAATGTCTCTAGACATGAGGATAGTTTGAAAGAAACCTTACCCCTTCCCAAACCCAAGGAAATACAGTATCATCAAAACGTAACAAAGGTGTGGGCGAAAGGGGCCACATGCTGACCTGACAAGCTCAGGGGAGGCCTGCATGGCGGTCTTGCAAGCTCAGAGACCTAAAGTAACCACAAAGGATGGTCTGAAATGAAACTTTAACTAAAAGCAGTTATGGTGGGCAGTTACGTCCTAGGCCGGTATCTTCACTGACAAGGCCAACATTTACCTTAACTGAGCCTATCTGTCTTTTTGCATCTATAATAACATACCCTTGAAATGTCTGGGTAACTTCCCTTTCTTTTTTCTGGACCCCTTGGGGCACAACCTAATGTGCCTGGGCTCCAGGACAGATAGCACAAATCCCATCATTGTTATTATGTTAATTGTTCCTGCACCCACCTAAGTATGCGTCTATCATTTTACTTTTTATCCAACCCCAGGGGTTTCCCCCGCTTTTCTTTCTCCCGCCTCTCTAGTCTATCACCAGTGGATTTCATGTAACCCACCCATGTCCCTTTCCTTTGATTGCCATGTATAAATACAGATGTAACCCACCATTCTCCGGAGCATTATCTCAATTCGTTGAGGTTCTGCTTCCTGGCATATGTCGACAGCTTGGCTCAGATAAACTCACAAAAACTCTTTACAGGGTTTCAATGGTTTTTTACGTTAACAGAGGGAAGTGCAGCGCCGATCAAGGGCCGGAAGGGAGCAGAGACTGTGCTAGGCCTCGGGAGCGTCGACAGTTGGCTCAGATAAACTCACAAAAACTCTTTACAGGTTTCAATGGTTTTTTACGTTAACAGAGGGAAGTGCAGCGCCGATCAAGGGCCGGAAGGGAGCAGAGACTGTGCTAGGCCTCGGGAGCCTCGGATGCTGGGGTGACGGCACCACAGCTCTGGGTCCTGGCCCTCCTCCCGGGCTTGGTGGGGACAAGTGAGGGCCTGTGGCCCCGGAGGCTGCACTTCTGTGCGTTGGAGCTGAGTCATCTGGTTGTAGACGAGACATCGCCTAAGCCCCTTCCTTTGTTTTTGCTCCAATAAATCTTGCCACCAGACCTCAAATCCTCCTCCGCCTGTATCCCTGAAATGTGTTTGCTGCAAGCCTGTGGAACAATCCTATTTCCTCCGGCAAAATAAGAACCAAGAGGTGAACCTGGGAATTGCCCCCTTCCCAACACTAGCCTCATCAGGACAGTAAGGCACTGTGGTAAAGACAGACAAATAGATCAGACAGAATAGAAAGTCCTGAAAAAGACCCACACTTATTTGGTCGATTGATTTTCAACAGACACCAAAGCAATTCAATGTGGCAAGGCAATTCAAAGTAGCAAATGGCATTGACAAGTTAGCTGTGTGTAAGGAAAAAGAGAAACCTCGATCTATACCTCACGCCATACACAAAAAATAAACTAGAAATGGATCATAGATGGAAATGTAAAACCTAAAACTATAAAGCTTTTAGGGAAAAAAAATAGGAGGAAATCTGTAACCTGAGTCTAAGCAAAGCCTTCCTGAACGGAACCTGAAAGGTATCATAAAAGACAAGAAAAGACAAAGTGGACTTCACAAATTAAAAACTCCTGCGCATCAACCTGCTGAAATAGCTACAATGATAAAGACGGACAACGCTCCTTGTTCGCAGGAATACGGAGCAGCTGGAACGCTCGCACCATGGTCCTGACAGTGCACAATGTCCATCGCATTGGCAATGGTTCTGGCAGTTCCTCCTAAAGTTAGACGTACCTTCTCTATGACCTAGACATTTCACTTCTAGGTATTTACTCCAAGGGAATGAAGTCGTAGGTCCACACAAAGGCTTGTGTGTGAACACACAATACAGCCATACAATAATAGAATACTATATAGTAATAAAAGCTACCGGTAAACACAATATAGAGAAGTCTCAAAAATAGTGTACTAAGAAAAAAGAGGCAGA